TCTATGGTTATAACAGTGAGTCATATAAATCCTTCCAAAAGCTTACAGTCCAGTTATTTCATTTCTATGTACTAATCTATGCAACTCAAAGATGAGAAAAGTATGAAGTCAATTTGAATTAGAAGTGTATTCAGTTTACCTTTGAATAATTCTGTATTTTCTTGGATAACAATAAGCATAATCTAACAAATAATTACAGTGAAATAAATCAAGAGAATCTTGATTTACCTTTCTTAAAATAAACTCAGTAGATTAAAATTATTTTCTTAAGAATGAAGATTATTAAACACAGAATGGGTTGTAAAAAATAAGATAAAATATTTGTTCACAAATGCATTCAGATATTTTGAGAACAAAGTGAATGAAATAAAATATTTTCATGAAAATGTAAAATCTCACTTTATCATTCAACTGATAGCTCTATTGACCATATACCAACTTTTTTCTTCCTTAAGTTTTGGTTCACTTTATACTTTATAAACATTAAAATTTATGTTGACTAACTAAAAATTAAAGTAAGAAATATTAGATGTAGAAGTTATAGATACTATTCTTCAAACTATTCTCCAAGTGAGATATCAGACAGAGTACAAAAGTTATATTTGCCTTTAAAAATGTGGGTATTAAGATAACCATTTCTTTATTAACCGTGAAGGTAACTTTTGCAAGCAACTATTAGATGTATAGCTAAGAGAGAAAAGATGCATAATTAAGGAGATAGCATTGTTAAAAAGAAGAGATACAAAAACCTTGTTTGAACAGCTCCCTGGCTTCCTCATTAGACCTAAAGAATACATCATAGATGAATTTTTGCTATTTATGACAATATGGGTGGAACTCAAAGGCATTCCACTAAGTGAAATAAGTCAGATGGAGAAAGACAGATGCCATGATTTCACTCATATGTAGAAGATAAAGAAATGAAACAAATGAATAAAAAAATAAAATAAAAACAGACTATGAGAACAAAATGGTTATTATCAGAGAGGAAAAAGAAACAGGGAGAAGGCAAATTGAACAAAGAGATCAGTTGTAGGTAGCAGGTGGTTATTAGGCTTTTGGTAATGATTATATGCAGTATTTACAGAGGTTGAATTATAATGTCATAGACCTGAGACCTATACAATGTTTTAAACAATTATTAAAGCAATAAATATTTACACACAGAGAGAGACACACAATATGCTTAAAATATATATGTATTTGTAGGTTTAAAAATAAAATAAATAAAATAAAAAAGAATACATTAGGGAACCAGGATTGTTTCATCAGAGAATAATGTACTATATTTAAGAATTATAACGTCTAGGTGTTGGAGAAACTGAAAAGCCATGGAAAAGAAATGAAACTAGACCACTACATTACTCCATAAACACAAATTACTTCAAAATGGATTAAAGGGCCTGCCTGGTGGCACAGTGGTTGAGCGCTGGGCTACGAAGCTGGCCACAACCTCTGCAGTGCTGGTTCTATCCCCGGCCACTGGTGAGGGTCCCACATGGCACACAGACCTCTCCTGCCAATGCCCACTGTTCTCCTCAGCAATGTATTTCATCAGTCTGCCTGTTCTGTTCCCCACTCTGGCTCTGGTGAATTCTCTCAGTCTCCCGCATTTCTGAGTGTAACCAATGCTTGTATAAATAAATAAAAATAAATCTCAAAAAAAAAAAAAGGATTAAAGACTTAAATGTAAGGGCCTCCCTGGTGGTGTAGGCATTAAAGAGTGCTGTTAAGCTACTGTCAGCCACCTCAGCATGGGTTCAATTCCCCGCCAGTCAGGGAGGTGACCCACATGGTGCAGCAGACCTCTCCTGCCTTGCCCGCTGTGAACCTCAGCAGTGTATTTCAGTCAACCCGACTGTTCTGCTCCCTATTCTGTCTGTGGTGAATCCTCTCACCTCCCACATCTCTGACCTGTACCCCAGTTCTTGTATGCATAAATAAGTCTTTAAAAAAAAAAAGACTTAAATGTAAGACCTGAAACCATAAAACATATAGAAGAAAATATAGATGATAAGTTCATCAGCATTGACCTCAGAGATGTCTTTTGGAATTCTGCACCAATGGTAAGAGATGCAAAAGCAAAAGTAAACAAAGACTATCAAATTAAAAACAACAACAACAGCAAAACTTCTGTGTAGCAAAATAAACAACCACAAAAGTAAAATATTTGCTACATACATAATGGGAGAAGATACCCATAACTCACACATTTGACAAAGGTTTAACATCCAAAATATAAAAAGAACTCATAAAACTCAAACAACAAAATAACCTGATCAAAAACCAGGCAGAGGATATGAAAAGGTACTTCTCTACAGACAATATACAGATGGCCAACAGATACAGATGAAAATGTTCTTCACTTGAAATATCACCTCACTCCTATAAGAATGACATAAATTAAAAACACAAAAAAACAATTACGTGAGAGGGTGTGGAAAAAGGAAACCCTATATACTCTTATTGGGAATGTAAATTGGTGTGAACACCATGGAAAATGGTATGGAAGTTCCTCACAAATTATAAATTTAAAAAGTACATTTGCGGGCCTCCCTGGTGGCGCAGGCGGTTGAGCGCTGCACTGTGAAGCTGTCTGCAGAGTTTGCAGTGCCGTTCGATACTGGCTGGGCCACGAGAATCCCACATGGCGTGGCAGACCTCTCCTGTCTCACCTGCTGCTCCCCTCAGCAGTGTATTTCATCAGTCTGCCTGTTCTGCTCCCCGCTCTGTCTCTGGTGAATCCTCTCACCCTCCCGCACATCTGGCCTATACCCCGGTTCTTGTATAAATGAATAAATAAATAAATTTAAAAAAATAAAAAGTACAGTTGTCTGGTGGATGTCCCCTTGATCATTTTATAGTGTTCATCTCTGTTTCTTGTCACCTTTTTAGCTTGAAGTTGAGTTTGTCTGGTATAAGTATGGCTGCATCTGCCTTCTTTTGGGGATCATTTGTGGAATTGTTTTCCATCCCTTTACTTTCAATCCATGTTTATCTTTAGAACTTAGGTGTGTTTCCTGGAAGCAGCAGAGGTTGCATTCTGTTTTCTAATCCAGCATTACATATATTCCACTTTGTTGTTTACTTGCTTGCATGGTTTCTGAAGAAAGTTCAATGTAATTTTTTTCTTAGTTCTTCTCTGTATAAGGAGAAGAACCTTCTTCTCCACCTTCTTTCAAGCATTTCTCTATTTCTTTATCTTTGATTTCCTGCAGTTTGAATATAGTATGCCTAGGTGTACACTTTTTTGTGTCTGTATTTCCTGCTTGATAGTTTCAACTTCCTGGATCTGTGATTTGGTATCTCCAATTTTGAAAAATTCTGTGATTATTACTTCAAGTATTTCTTCTAGTATTTTGTCATTCCACAGGAAAATAAAGCAATCAAATGTGTTCATAACTAATAAAACAGCATCAAATTAGTTAGAAAATTTGAAAATTAAAAGTAAAGAGAAATCTACAATTACCAATTGATAATTTTTAACACATCTCTCTTAGTAACTAATAAAACATGAGAGAAAAAGACTAAGAGATTAAAAACAGACCCAATAATAAATTTGAGTAGTTAACATGTATAGCGTTCACACCTAAAAAATGAAGAACACACATTATTTTCAAACATATATTACATAATTAAAAAAATAACTAGAAAAATAACTACATACTTATCAATGTGTCAAGAATGGCAATGAATAGAAATCATATTGAATATACTCTCTGTCCATAGTCTGATTAAATCAGAAAACAATAATTAAAAAACTAAAATGTTTCCCAATGTTTGAAAATTAAGCATATATTTGCATATATGAATCATGCAATATATAGATACATATACACACAAAATATGTATACATATGATATAGGCATATATATATATTGGTGTGTATTATACATACAGTATGTATATAATGTTTTTGTTCCCTGTAACAATATATGTAGTTTTTTCTCACATATTCCTGTCATTTCTTCAAATGAAAACATGAAACTGCAGGGACCAAATTTATGGAGATCCTAGAAAAAGGAGACTTGAGAGAGAAAAGGAAAGCATTTCTATTTCTGCCCCTAGAGGCTGCTTCTACTGGCCACTTCCTGTCTCTTTCTCAATATCTCAGACCCTATTGTCTAAAAATGTATTATAAAAAAAACTCTCTCACTTTGTTTAGACTTTTACCTGTTCTTGTGGAAGGGAAATTTATTATAGGGAAGCAGGATAGAATTCCTGTTTTAATTTGATGACTTTCCCAAAGGGAAGGTGTAGGAAGAAAATAATTGGAGAAACTAATATTTAATTTATTTCATTAAGTCCTCAAAGGTGAAGGGAGTTCCCTTTCACAGAGGAAAAACTAGAGCAGTTGCTCTGCCTCCCTGGCAACACTTTTATGGCTTCAGGATAATTCCATCCAAAGGCAGAATTAGGAAAGTGTGAGAATCAGAAGAGTGTTGAACAACTTGCCACATTTTATAAAACCTGCATTAAGTCATGGTGCCAGAAAAGACTTTCAGAAATAGTTGGTCTATGTTAATAAAGTTATAGCTTCCGTGTTTTTAGAAAGCCTTATCTCAAATTGTCGATCATTATTTCTTATAAGTCTTGTAAACTCGTGAATATGGGGTAGTAGAAAACGGGTGATTTACATTTAAAAATTGCATTCACTTTCCCCTTCTGTATATATAGCATGGAATATACACGTAATTTAAAATTTAAGTGATATCTGCCCACTCGCTTTATGATATTTTAACAAAATATAATGTGAATCTTAACTATGTTGTTCTCTTTTTAAAACAGACCAGCAATACTTTGTTTTTCTTAAATTTAATTATTTGCAGGAAAGCGTTTTATTAATTCAAATGGAATGAAGTTACACTACAGGGAACAAGAAAAGTACCCTATAATGCTAGTTATAAAGCAGTTTCACTTGGGGAGGAGGGAGGGGGGAGGGGGGAGGGGGTAGCTGGAAGGCTCGGGGTCAGCGGAGCGCAGTTGCGGCTGCGCCAGTTCTCAGCTTCCAGGCGCGTCGGCGAGATCCGCCCAAGCGCGATCTGCAGCCTCTGGGCAGAAGTGGGTAGGCTGACTCTCGGGGAGGCGCCCCCGCGGCCCGGCATCCTACTGCCGCCTCCTCTCATCACTCCAGAAGAGACAGACCCTTTCCTGGGCCGGCCGGGTGAGGTACGGATTGCTGTAGAGCTTGCCCTTACAGAGGGCGCCGGGAACCTAGGGGAGCCAAAGCTAAGCCCTGCAGAATTCTGAGTGACTCGGGTCGGCCAGGGGAGTCCAAAAGCTGGGGGAGAGGCTTTGCATTTTTCCTATGAAAGGCAGGGGAGCTTCTCTCTCTAGCACTTCATTTGATGTGTTCACCGGGTTAGAATAAGATTTCAACAGGTAGCAGCGAGCAGTCATGTGGGCAGGTTTGAGGTAACCTCCCCCACCCCTGCACAGCCACCTAAAACTGCAAGTCCGCCCGCCTAACCTCTGCTTTCAATCCCGCTTTCCAGCCCCGCGAGTCCGCGGCGACCACGCGCTCAGGGGACCCCCTGGAACAGCCTCCCCAGAAAGGACAGAGGAAAGCTCAGAAAGCGGCCAGCAGCGGCCGGCGCAGGTCCGCGCGCACACGGGCTGCGGGGTCCGAGACCCGGCGATTGGCAGTGGGGGACACCCAGGCGCCCTCTGCTCTGCCCTCGTCGAGATGCACAACGCGTCGTCCTCAGAGTCGGGGCCCACCAACACTTCGTGTCCCGTCCCGGAGCTCGGCTGCCCCAACGCGTCCGGCCAGCAGCCGCCGTCGCTGCCGCCGCCGCTGGTCGTGGCGGTGCCGGTCGTGTACGCCGTGATCTGCGCCGTGGGCTTGGCGGGCAACTCTGCGGTGCTGTATGTGCTGCTGCGCTCGCCCCGCATGAAGACCGTCACCAACCTGTTCATCCTCAACCTGGCCATCGCGGACGAGCTCTTCACGCTCGTTCTGCCCATCAACATCGCTGACTTCCTCCTGCGGCAGTGGCCCTTTGGGGAGCTCATGTGCAAGTTGATCGTGGCCATCGATCAGTACAACACATTTTCCAGCCTCTACTTCCTCACCGTCATGAGCGCCGACCGCTACCTGGTGGTGCTGGCCACGGCCGAGTCGCGCAGAGTGACCGGCCGCACCTACGGCGCCGCGCGCGCGGTCAGCCTGGCCGTGTGGGGGCTCGTGACGCTGGTCGTGCTGCCCTTCGCCGTGTTCGCCCGGCTGGACGACGAGCAAGGGAGGCGCCAGTGTGTGCTGGTCTTCCCGCATCCCGAGGCCTTCTGGTGGCGGGCCAGCCGCCTGTACACGCTGGTGCTGGGATTCGCCATCCCGGTGTCCACTATCTGTGTCCTCTACACCACCCTGCTGTGCCGGCTACGCTCCATTCGGCTGGATAGTCACGCCAAAGCGCTGGACCGCGCAAAGAAGCGGGTGACTTTCCTGGTGGTGGCGATCCTGGCAGTGTGCCTCCTCTGCTGGACGCCCTACCACCTGAGCACCGTGGTGGCGCTCACCACGGACCTCCCGCAGACGCCGCTGGTGATTGCGGTCTCCTACTTCATCACGAGCCTGAGCTACGCCAACAGCTGTCTCAATCCCTTTCTCTACGCTTTCCTGGACGACAGCTTCCGCAGGAGTCTCCGCCAGCTGTTGGTGTGCCGCCCTGCTGCCTGAAGCCCCCCACTCACAGCTCCCCAGCCCAGCCCAGCCTCGACCCTCGCTGGGGCAACCCGCGGCAGTAGCGCCCCGCGTGCTATGCCTGAGCGCAGGCTCATCAGTCTCCCTACTCCCGTCCCACTTGTGGCAGCGCCCACAGTTTGAAATTGCCAAGCCCCCAGGATGTGCAGGTACACAGAATACCACGCTGACCGCTCCCTAAAGCCAAAAGGCAAAGTAAGGGGAGGGGTGGGTGCTGTGCTGTGGGGAACCCACACTGCGGTCTCCTTTGTGCCTCCCGCCAGAACTGTCCCCAATTCGGGTTCCAGGTGGAGCCCTCCACGCTGTCAAGGAAGAGGCCCACAGAGGCTGCCAACACCCCTGCACTTTGCTTCCATTTCCCGCAGCGACTGTTTAGTGAACAGCTTGGTGTGATCCGCTTGTCCTCCACTGCGCGCTGACCTATGGAGAAGAGCCAAGACTACCCTGCGAAGCGCGTGGGGAGGTTTGGCGGGGGCTGGTGGTGGTGGTGGTGTGTGTGTGTGTGTGTGTGTGTGTGTGTGCTCGCGCGCGCAGATTTTTTTCTCCTATTCTAGCGGTTTCTTTCTTTGCCCTTTCCAACTTTCCTACACCGCTGTCAGCTGAAAACCCTTCAGGACTCTCAGGCTGCAAGAATCCGCCTCTCCGGGTTCAGGAAGTACCAGGAGCAGCAAGTCTGCGGGGCGCGCAGATTCAGGCGCCCCCTTGCGTCGCCAGCCGCCCTGCGCCGAGCATCCTAACGCACAGCGCTGTTTGCAGCCGAACTCGCCCTCTCTAAACTGCTGTTTACACCGTTAGCTTATTAGGCATCTCTTCTTCTTCTTCTTCTTTTTTTATTTTTTGTGGGACCCTCGCCGGCGGCCGGGGAGCGAACCGGCGCTGCAGAGGCTGCGGGCAGCCTCGCAGCCCAGCGCTCAACCGCTGCACCACCAGGGGAAGCCCTAGGCATCTCTTCTTTTATACTAGTGACTTCGTTACCCCTACATCACTTTGCTCAGTCGACCTCTTATATGACTTGAACCAGTTCGTTGTAATTTTTTTTGTGTGAGTGTTGATTTTCACCACTGAGGTCTTGATGTATGTAAAATCTGGAATTTACTCCGGAATCACAGTGAGACCAGCCAACACTCTACATTTATTTTATCTCTACTCATGGAAGATAAGAGTGAATTAAGAGAGGACTGAAATTTGGGTTGACCCAAGCACCTGGAGCCTACTCCTCAGACAGGAGGGCAGAGCCTTATGGTTTATTGCTCTTTAAAGTGTCCTAGAAGGTATTTTTTTTTAATTTGGGATATATGAATAGAAATTTCAGAAAATGTTGTTTCCTATGGCACAGTCTTATATGTGAGAAGGTGTGAATTGTGTAATTAGTTTGATGGACATTAATCAGTTTCTCAATTTATACTTTCGAAAGTATAGATGAAAAACTCCTTTGGGTGGGGAGGAGCCATCTCTCCGGTTTTGCTGAGCGAATTTGGGACGAGAATTGCTTCCTTAATGATCAGAGCTATTCGGGTACAATGATATAATTCATAGCTATCAATTCAGAAAATGTAAATTTAGAAACCTAGTTTGGGTGAGAAATGATATTAAATTGTTCAAAGTAAAGTTGTTTTTTTCCCCTCTCCACTGCATTTTGAATGGTAGAACGTCATGGATGGCATTTGAACAACCGTCTGCTGGTGGGCTGCAGAAGCCTCTAGGAGTTCGTGTTAGTATCTTTCAAATCCCTTAGAAACATTCTATTGATTTTATTTATGAGTCACAATATTTTTAATGAATTCACAGTATTTTACTTTTTGAAAATAAAAGTTTTAAGCTTAGAGTAACTGCCACATTATCTAAGGTGATAGATAAATGGTAAAATGGGCCTTTGGCCACAAACACAGCCAGGTGTGACCATCTGGATTTGAAACCCCATCTGTTTTGATAAACTCAGTAGCTATGCTGTGACATCCTGTGGGTACAGATCAGGGGAAAGCCCAGTAATCCATCTGTTCACTGCATCATGCATTCTGCAGATGGACTTGGAGCTACCTTGGAACTATGGATAGGACTTCAAGAAAAACATCTGCACTCACATCACTGTGTTCTCCATACCAAGGTTTGGACTGGCACACTAATATGTAGTGCCTAAATAGGACTGAGTGATTTAGTTTTACAGTTTTAAAAATCACTGGATAAACGTTTGTTATTTTAGATAGTTGTTTGTATATTATTAGCATGTGGATTTTCATATTGTGTGTCAGACATCATTTTCATATCTTAGATACTGGATAGAATAAATATGCAAATTACCATGCAAAAGTAAAACTTACATCATTATATTGCAAAAATTTTAATTCTGTGTTGAATTTTTGCAGTCATTATGTAAAAACTATTTTGTCTGGTTATGCCATTTCTGATATTTCAAACTGCAAGTTGGTTTTACTTAATTTTGTAAAATTATGTGTTTAGTAAAAGTACGTGTTTAAGCTTTCTCTTGAGGAATGTAGAAACTCTGTTAGTGCATTTCAAAGAATCTTAGTTTGAAATAAACACCGAAATATTCTGTGTGATAAGTGAATATTCTATTTCCTGAGATCACGGAACACATAACTCAGCCATCTTGCTATGTATGAATTATGCTTTTAAAAAAAATACTGCCTTCATGGAGAAGCTATCTAGTGTATAAGCAAAGAATAAATGTGTTTGATATGACAAGATTAAGAATGAACTTCCTTTACTTTGGGTAATTGTGAAAATGATGTGAAAGTGCTCATTAGCACAAAATCTCTACAACATATTTTGGGCAGAAAAATGGTAAGTTTTTATCATATAATCACAAACCTTGTGTCTTGAATATTTGAATTGTTTGTGTGGAGGGCCAGAAGAGAAGAGAAGTCGTTGAAGTCATTAGCACACATCATTACTATTTCAATTAAGAGAATGCACAGACATGGCACACATATACACAAAACAGAGGATCTCACCAGAAAAACTCTGGCACTCATTGAAAAACCTCCTTTTCTCAGCAACATGCTGGGAATACAGCAACAAAAACAATATCCCTCAATAGATGTCAGTCACCTATGTTTATGTTTATGAATGAGTTTAGCGAATCCTTCACATTAATGGTCTTTTACTGGAAGAGTTTTGGATATGGCACTTTAATTGATATTTTATATACAAAGAAATGGAGATATAGAGAATTGGATCTATTTGATTAGGTCCAGAAAGCCCAAGCAAAACCATCTGCTTCCTTTTCTAGGAATTGTACCATCATAAACATCCAATAAGATGAAATTGATTGCAGGGTATAATTTGGAATTACTAGGCCATAGAAAACACTGATGTCTTTGGTATATTTAAAGAATCAAGCAAGATTTATATATATATATATATAAATGTATATACACACATATCTATGTACACACACACATATATATCTATACACACATATACTATTGTAACATGTGACCCAAAGGTAGGATAAGATTGAAGAATAAAATTTCAATTCTAACTCACAGTCTTGAAAGTATATGGTATTGTAAGGGTATAGAAGGAAAATTCCTATATCAGGGTTGGCTGCAGTTTGCTCGACTGTGCAAGCACTACTACATTGCAATTTGAACGCTATGCATAGAGTTGTGCTCCAGGATGCACTATTTAAGTAGGCTAGGCTAGTATGCTAGTGGCGCTTCTGCTTATATAGAACAGTTTTACAATGGATGGCATTGTCCTCGAATTTAGGGTGAGACAACATTAGTTTTGATTCCATATCTCGTAAGTTTTCATGAAGATGTCATGCCTTAGTGATTAAAGGAGAAGAGGGGAGGGATGAGAAGAAAAGTTTAAATGCATCTGTCAGAAAATCTGCTTCTGACAATCCAGATCAGAAATTTTTTTCTTGACATAATGCTAACTGGCAGCAAGAACAGACTGTCTTTCCTGCCAACACCTCAGGTGCATCCCTGCACATAGAACAGACATCCCGGCTGACCACGTTTGGGGGATCAGCTCAGGATCTTTCTGTGAAATGTACATCCTACAGTGTGGAGTTCATAATTTGCACCACCATGTTTTTTATCTCTCATGGCCTTTCCATATCTCTTTATCAGTGTCTTTATAAACAAGTGGCAGTTTTTTTTAATTGATAACTTAAGTTCTTCAATTGTCTCTACTTTATAATCAGTGGGGTCATTACAGTGTCCATACACAGCATTTGATCAGTCAGAATCATTACAATATCAATACATAACACCTTAAAACTCTGTACTGAAAGAATAATTAGCAGTTTCTTGCTCTGAGTTCCAGCTCTGAGTTCTCAGAACTACTATAGTTGTTTATTCTGAAATTTGCCTCTTTACTGCTAAATTATAGGTTTATACCTTAATGATTTAATTCAATAAATTTAGACTTTGTAATTAAGAGATTTGGAGGGCATGCATTGTTGGCACTTTTGAAAATTAGATGTGTTCAAAAGTGTGTCTCTTGGGCCTCCCTAGGTGGCCCAGCGGTTAAACGCTGGGCTGCAAAGCTGCCTGCTGCCTCTGCAGCAGCGGTTCAATCCTCGGCCTCCAGGGAGGGACATCTCCTGTCTTGCCTGCTGCTCCCCCTCAGCATTGTATTTTGTCACTCTGCCTGTTCTGTTCCCCGTTCTGGCTCTGGTGAATTTTCTCATCCTCCCATGCTTCTGACTGTACCCAGTGCTTGCATAAATAAATAAATAAATAAATAAATAAATAAATAAATAAGTGTGTTTCTCCTTACTCTGATTTCAGACTTTTACTTTGTCTCCTATTTTCATTCCAACTTAGTTCTTACCTTCTGCAGCATCTGGTTCCCTGTGTCTAGTGCATCTCTGAGTCCAGTTTTTCCAGAAGAAAAACTTCTATCTCCCACAAGGGTGGACAGGAGGCTCATCTGGCTGCATGAGTTAGACTTTGCACTTCTTATAGAAACATTCATCACCCTCCCTCTTTGTAGCCCGGTAGTTCAACCCCAACTCCTCTTGGCATGGTGGTCTCATGTAATTTGCAGCAACATGGATGGAGCTGGAAGGGATCATGCTCAGTGAAATAAGTCAGAAGGAAAAAGAAAAATACCGATGGTCTCACTCATAGCAGGAATTTAAAAAACCTAAATAAAGGACCAGGAAAAAGACTAATTATAATAAAGTAAAAAATCAAAATCAACAAGCAACTACAAGCCAGAGATACACTATGGGGTGGGAGGAGGGATTAGGGTCAAAATAAGGGGGATGGGAATTCTATGGGAATATAACCAAGATGAAAATGCATACATTGTGCAAAAATGAAAAATGATGTAAAAATTATATAAAATAAAGTTTAAAAAATAATGACAAAAAGGAAAAAAAGTCTTTCCTATTATTACAGTGGGGATATGAGAAAATAGCATTAGATATTGAATAAATGACATCATTTAAAACTGGAATATATGCATGTGCATATGTGTAAACAGACTTTTATTGGATTGGATTTTAGCAAATTACTTATTGGCTTAGAAGAACTCAATAGGAAACCAGATACTTGGAAGTTCAGGATCTTACCAAAAGATTGACTGGCTTTTTAAACAATGGTTTATTAATCAGGGTCTGTAATTGAATGAACTAATTGATAGAATTAAGTCAATTGTTTTCAACATTTTTAATCTTCCTGTTTCTTTTCCACTGTTACATAAAAGTCTTAATTACTGATAAGGCCACTTTTTTCTTTTTTTTTAGTTTCCAATATTTCTTCTTCTTCTTATATATATATATTTTACATCATTCTTCATTTTTATACAATGTATGCTTTATCATCTTGGGTACAGTCCCCGTGGAATTCCCACCACCAATTCACCCGTGTACCATCACCATAGTCCCTTGTGCCCTTCCCGTCCATTTTGATCCATCCTCTTCTCCCCCCCATAGAATGTCTCTGGTTTATAGTTTAAAAGGAGTTTAATAAGGTAGAAAATAGACCTAAGGCTGACTTCAGAATTTGTTCCTTATTTCTGGATTTTTGCAAACACCATAATTATAATTTTTAACACTTCCCATGTTGAGTATGGTCAAATATAAGCTATTTTTCTAATAGGAATTCTAAGAGGCATTCTTCTAAGTAGGAATCTTCTTTACCTTTTACAAATAAGTAGCTGCAGTTCAGAAAATGATGACATAAAGCAAATGATTCTTTTGATCTTTATTTTCCCTAGTCTAAAAGGATGATCTTAGAATAATTTATCTGCATTTTATTTTTTCATTTCTCAAGTGGAAATAATATCTCACAGTATCAAAGTGAGGAATACCTGTTATAATAACTTATTTTTAGAGTGTGCACATAGGCTAGTTTTCTCCCAAAATACCATGGTGGTCTGTTGCTTTCATGGTATATGAAAAAATATTACATTGAACTCACAGATTCCTAATTTTAGCCTGCTAGCTCCTATACATAGCTTCTGCAAAACTGCATCTCCATTTAATTCGGTGCCATGCATTTACCCAAACACAGCAGACTTGGTCAGTACAAGGAAGATACTCTGAGGCTGGCTCTGAGACAAATTAAATCTCCCTGGAAGGATGTGCAGGTAGCAGCATTTCTAAAGCTCCCAATCTGGGAGCTGTGTGGAACTATTGGAATAAAAGTTAAGATATCAGAAAACATATTATTATTTTTATTTTGACCTATCATTCCATCAGAAACTGACTTGTACCTGCTTTTTAACTGGTCTCAATCAGAATGTTTGTTATATTTTTAACAATAAACCGATATCACTTGAGTAACAAATAATGTCTAAGATATCAAAATATTAATTGTTAGGCTGCCCAGGACAGAGGTGAACTTTGATTGCTGGACTTTCTTTAAAAAAAAAAAAATCGTATAAAAATTCTTTCTTAGGTCAGCTGGCATGATTCAAATTTATACTCTTTTCTTTTGCTATTAGTACATGAAAATATAAATAACCCTCAAAATAAACATTTGTTTTATTAGTAAATGAAAAAAAACTGGTTTAATTAATTTTATTAGTTATTCTCAGGAGGAGTCAAACTGAAAAAAGTGGACTTGTCTGCCACCTTAAGGATGGTTTATGCAAACAATCAGGCAGCAGTTGCAGCTGTACTAGCTATTTCTTTAAACATTAGAATGTATTCTTAAGACAACTTCAAGAAAAATTTTTTTCACTTCCTGTGTACTTATTATTCTATAGGTTTCCTAATTATAATTTTTAATGCTATGCTATTCCATGGAAGGTGAAATATAATAGCCTTTGCCATTACACTATTTCTGTTTCTTTATTATTCATATTTTAAATATATTTTTATTACCATAATGGACATCTGCACCTTCATGCATATGCTTTATCATTATTTTTTAAAATCATTTCTTGACAGTATGGCTAGAAATGGATTTACTGCCATATTCTTACATCTAAGCCTCAAAGTCCCTACAACTTCTCCTTTTCCCTTCTGACACACTGAATAGTGTGTCTTTCCAATCAAACAGCAATCACTTTCTCTGTATATTTGTTCTTTTCCTTATTTTTTAAAAAAATATTTATTTATACAAGAACCAGGGTACAGGCCAGATGGCGGGAGTGTGAGAGGATTCACCAAAGACAGAGCAGGGAACAGAACAGGCAGACTGACTGAAATACACTGTTGAAGGGAGCAGTGGGTGAGACAGGAGAGGTCTGCTTCGCCATGTGAGATTCTCTCCTGTCAGCTGGGATCCAACAGGTGCTGCAGAAGCCGCGGACAGCTTCACAGAGCGGTGCTCAACCATCTGTGCCACCAGGGAGGCCCTTCTTTCCCTTCTTATCTTTTATAGGTTTGCCCCTTTGCCTGTCTTCTTTTTGTTCTAAATTATCTACATCTACCTTCCACTCCATAATGTTTATTGTCTTTCAAAAATTTAATAACTTCAACAATTTTTTTTTAAAAAAAACTTCCCTCAACTTTTTTTTTTTTTTTTTTTTTTTTGTGACCCTCAACCCCGGCCGGGCAACAAACAGGCGCTGCAGAGGCTGTGGGCAGCCTCGCAGCACAGCGCTCAACAGCCGCACCACCAGGGGAGGCCCCCCTCAACCATTTTTGAAGAAAAATGCTAACAAGTAAAGGTAGAAGGAATGATAAAATTGGAAAAATCACTTTGATTCAAATTTTATAAATGGCTGCCAAAATCATTGGTTGAAAGATTTATTGGGAACAAGGATATTTGTATGGCGTCAAAGTATCACCCCAAAGTTTACTTGATAAATGCAAGGGTGAAATGTACACCTTTATAAAGGAGAAAAATGGTTGGATTTCCAAGTAATCCAGTTTTGCATTACTAGGGACAAGATAACCTGACATTAAATATCATCTGATACAATGCACTGTAATGTTTACATACGCATATGCGTATAAATATACCATGCACTCCAATGTACACAGCACCATGATGTAATGAAATATTTAACTAACTTCTGGTTAACTGAGAACTAGGGATAGAGGGATAAGAAAAAGAATACCATGAAGAACCAATCACATTAATCTAGAATGCAGGAAAACTGCCTTATTGAATTCTTTGAAAGAGATGGGGAAATGAGACTGTTATTATTTTTTTACACTGACGTCTTATTTGGTTCCCCTGTATTCCTGATATAAGTGAAATCATCCAATATATTTCTTTTTCCCTCTGGCTTATTTCACCGAACATAATTCCTTCTAGTACCATCCACGTTGCTGTGAATGGCATGAGTTTATCTTTTTTGATTGCTGAATAATATTCCATTGTGTATATATGCCACATCTTCCTGATCCAGTCATCTATTTTTGGGCATTTGGGTTGTTTTCAGGTTTTACCCATTGTAAATAGTGCTGCAATAAACATAGGGGTACAGGTGTTCTCTTGAATCAATGTTTTTGTGTTCTTTGGGTAGATCCCTAGGAGTGGAATTGCCGGGTCATTTGGTAGCCAAAATGGACAATTACAAATCAAAGATATACTGCAGGAGGAGGGAGGAGCACAGGGGACTGAGGTGATGGTGCACGGGTACATTGGTGAAGGAAACTATGGGGACTACACCTGAGGGGGTGGGGGGCAGCAAATATTGTTTAAAAATGAACAGTGATGTAAAAAATTAAAAAAAATTAATATAAAAAAAGGCTAGAGAAAATAATCAAAGGCAATGTAGACTCCTTGACTTGAGTACCAACTCCAAAAGAGCTTTTAGGTATGTTTGTGAGAGGGGCAAGATGGTGGTAGAGTGAGGTGTAAGGCCAGTTTCCTCCATATGCTCACAGCTAGATTGCAACATAGCAAAGGTAGTATCTCCTAAAGGAAAAACAATTATAGACAGACCAGGGAAAATGTCAGGAGGAATTGACTTCAATAAGCAGCAGAATTAGTCAAGTGAGTAAGGTGGAAAACCCTAACAGTTTGGCAGGTCCCACAAACAGCAGAGCAAAACTTCAAGAGGCCCTCAGAGTATTCTTATGCAGATCCAGAGTAAGCCCTGGGATAGGACTTAGAAACATCTTTGCCATGGTAGAACCCTATAGACACTAACAAGTTCCAGGGTAGAACTTGGAAAAGTCCTGGGTTTTGTAGGACATGGAAAGCAGTGGAGCAGGTCCAACCAAGGGGAACAGATGTGACAGACCCTGGCATAGGTGACTACAGGGTCTCATCCCCACTGACTATAAATCTTGGAGCAGCAAGCAAG